TATTCGGGACTATAATAACCTAATAATGGACAGTGCAGGCATAGACCACACTGTAATGTATATTGTAGGGGAATATGGTAATAGTCTGAAATGGCAATTCTCCTAAATAAATAGCACATCAACTTACTTAAACCTAATCATAAATGGGACAAATTGGACCCATGTGCAAACAGAAACCTGAGCAGAAGGCAGGAGTTAAAGAAGCCATTGTTTCCCAGCCTGACCCTGGGCAGAGAAAGCCTGTGTCAGGTTACATCTGTTAAAATGATTCTAATGCCAGCCCAGTATTTTAATTATAAATATATAAAACATTTAATAAGAAGACATTCTGGGCTTACTAAGCCTTTAAAAACTGGATGTGGGCGGGGTGGGTAGAATGGTATTCCATGTGCCCCAGACAGAGTGCCAGCGTATAATGATTGAATGTTTTCCTGTAATAAATTGAAAAAATCTGGTTTGTAAGAATGGATCCAAATCACTTGGCATTAGAAAGGTAATTTGTTACCTAGCTTCCTCTTGGAAACGGGCTGCATCCAAGTTTGCTAGAACTAAGTTTCTAGGGACTGCAGTGTCCAAAAAGAGAAAGAAAGAGCAACCAGGATGCCTATGGCTCTGGTGCCATACACACACACACAGACACATATATTCTCTGTTATTTCTGCCTCTCTTTTTTTTTTTTCTTTTTGCCTGGGTTTTGCAGCCCTCCCTCTCATGGCTCCGAACATGAGATTCAGCAGCCAAAAAAAGAAGAAAAAAAAAAAAGAAAAAAAAAGAGGTTACTCAGGACAAAAGCCAGATCTATAGCCACCTTCTTTGTACCTTTCCAAATCTCAAGCCTGCTTAATTATGATTAATTGCCACATGGATAATCAGATACAGTTTCAAAAGGTTGGAGATGACAGTCCAAGGACACCAGGGAAGAAGGAAGGTTCGCCTTTGTTACAAGAAAAAAATACCAGGTCCCTTCCTCTGCCCATAACCTTTTCTTATTTTAACAATTCCAAACGGAATTAATACCATCAGTACATTGTTCCCGCTCCTGGGAATTGAACTTCAACTGTACAATTTCTGCAGCTGTCAGTTTTTTCAGGCCTCCTGTCAATAACGCAATGTTGGGGTGCCCTTCTTCTTGAATGAAAGCGGTTTCAAGTTTCTGCTTTATGTCTGTGCTTTCTGGGTGGTGCGACATGATGAGAAAGTATAAAAAATAATAACAGCAGTTAAAAAGCTTCCACTCTTGACTTAACTGGATCAAATGTAATAGACTACAGTCTTTTCTCCCGATTTCCTTTGCTTGTTTTAGAAAACACTGTGAAAAGTGCAGGAGATTTTGTCTTGCCAGCTCTTTCCTCCATTTAAAATCCCTTTGGCTAAGTCAAGGATCACAGTATGTCATTTCCAGCCTAACAGAAGTGCTGGGCCTTGTTCAGCTCCTATTACTAGGAGGCAAATCCCTAGGTTGCAGGCGCCAGTGTTTCTGCGCTTGGCTCACTTCCCAGTATTGTTTCCTTCATTACATTCCAGAGTGCCTCTCAGCCAGTTAATGTTTGCACTGGGAGGTCCAAATATCCAGCAATCAGCACTGAACTTTTCTCTTTTTGTTGAGAATTGCAGGTTTCAAATGCAATCACTGGCTTTAAAGGAAAACTTACAGGTGAACACAACAGCACTAATTTCCATTTTATTCACAAACAGTTACATTTTCCACAGTTTCTCCACGCGTGCTCGTAAAAGGGTTTCAGGGGATGTCTGGCTTTTTCAGGGCTGGAATTTCATTAGGGATTTTGGGGTGGGTGTTGCCCTCCCCGCACCTCTTGCAGTGCTTGCTTAACATGGGTGCTCCCACCCACAGCCCTCCTCTCACCGGGGCTGCTGGCAGCATCACAGCATCCTCCTTGGTCCTGAAAATGCAGCAAGCTGAGAACGGATGAAATAATTTGGATCACAAAGAGGGTCAAAGCGTTCGCTCGGACTTTGCGCTCTGAGAATCTTGGCTTTACTACATGGCAGACTGGGGGTGGCCCCCAGGGCAGCACCCTGCTTCTGCCACCCCTATAAGCACAGAAATCCCAATAAAGAGCAAGAAAGCATTCTGTGCACTGACCACTATTTTCAGGCTGTACCTCAGGCAATTTCAACTCTCCTTTAGGAAGACTTTTGATGTGGCAGCCCCGTGTAATTTGCTCACTGTGGGTTTGCTCTTAAGTTTTGGAGCCCGAGCCATGGGTCGCAGGCTTGATGAAGCAAGTAAAAAGTCCACGACACTTCTTTGTGGGGAAGAAAAAAGAACAACAACAAAAAAAGCGCAGATTGGGAAATCCTCAGTGTTTTCCATAAAGCCTCCAGCTATGCTTCCACCCATGATCATATGTCATATGGATGGTGTCATAGCGTCCTAAGGGTGCTAGCTCGCGGCGATGATATCAAATTCATGGAAGTGTATATGCTCAGAGAGAATACTAATGTTAACTCAGTCTAAATAACAACACTGCCAAAGGAGGAAAGCAAAAGATGAAATACAGTGGATTTCAGGAGGCAACAAGCTCTCATTTATTAAGATCACAGGCATTTTACAGGTTACAAATCATAAGGCAGAAATAACTTCATAATATACAGGTCAGGAATGTGTCTGGGATATTGAGGAACTATTTCCTTGGCAATAATCTGCCACAGATAGTCAGGAGCGTGCATTTTCTGGCACAACAAATCACTGCTGATTAATTTTGTCTGCCTTTGTCTCGGAGACGCAACAAGACACTTTGCCGTGTACACTGCTCTCACTCTGCTTCCACAGTATTCTTGCTCAATGCATAATTTTTTGCAAGATAGACCAAACACAATACGCTTTGTTTTGCCTCTTTGACATCGCTTTTGCCTGAGCTCAGTGTGCAGTGCCTGTGTGTGATGCAGGGGATGTGGTTGACACCCCCAAGGCCCCCAGAGGGGCTGATCCACCCCTGTGTGAGCCCCACGAAGCCACCTATCAGCAGTGTGCTTCAGACACTTCAATTCCTCTTGTAGGGCTGAGACCTTGTGATTACAACTGGGTGCCTGAGCCAGCAGCCAGCAAGGAACTTTTCCTCTCTGGGAAGCAGTCTTGGTGATGAATTCCAGCTCAGGTAGTGGAAATCCCTGCAAGGAGGGAAACTGGAATTCCTCACTTGACCAGCAGGAAGCTCAGGACTGGAGATGCAGCTGCAATGTGGAGGGAAGGTCCTTAGCATTGTCCTCTCCTGCATTTATGTATTGCTGATGGTGGTCTGCTGCACAGAGGGGCTTCCAGCATCCCCTGAAGGACAATAGATAAATACCAAAGGCAATGTCAAAACTGCATGGTGTCTGAGCACACCTCCTGATTTCTTGGAGTTCCTACAGGTTTGAAGAGATTCTCAGTCCCACCCTGGTTACAATGAACCATTCTGAAATAGGCTGTGGGGAGCCCATTGATACCCTTGTATCTCCGTAAGAAGAGAAAATGAAGTTCTGCTCCTGGGTTGCTTCATCTCTAGAAGCACGAGTGGGGAAGTCCCTGCTGCCTTATGGTGTCCATGGCAATTCCTATCTTACACCAGGAACCTGGAGGAGCTCTTGGTGGAAGGCCTTCACAACTGTGGCCAATAGGAACCTGGCAAGGTTATTTCTTTCTCTCTCTACCTAATTTATTTTCCTTGGGATTGAAGTCATCACAAAAAAATAGTATTGCTGTTATGGCTTCTGCTGTCAGTGTTCGCCTCCTATCCGCGTTCCCCAAGCTCCCACCTTCTTCCTCATCTCTTTCTCCCTTCAGAATTATAAAACCCAAAACAATGTGTTCATAACATTTCCTCAAATTCCCCCAAAAAATGAAATGAAAACAGCTAGCAGATGCTGATTTTCTCACTTAACTGCACATATTTTATAGGAATTCTCTCTGATTTTCTCCCAAGACATCCACCTGACCTTCCCTTCTCTCCAATCTCTCTCAGCAGTGGCCAAACACTGCTAATCGTGTGATACTCAGCCCGTGGAAATAGGCTGCAACTAAAAGAAATTTACCCTCTGGCCTCAAGGCCTTGTGCGTACAATAGAGACCACTGCATGTCTTTGCTAAAAGGAATGCATTTTCCTTGGCGAAAACTGATTTTATACCAAACCAAATTAATACTATGAAGAGAATGTGGTTTTGTTTTCAGTCGGCTTTTTTTTTGTTTGTTTGTTTTGTTTTGTTTTGTTTCACAAAGGCAATACAAACAGAATTAAACCCATTCGGTGATTTTACAATGAAGAATGACAAAATACATTTTCCAAGAATTTTGCAGGAAGTGGGAACGGAACACGACAAGTATTTTTGCTTCTCTCCACAAAACTGCATGTGCTTTGCAAGCACAAGCTGATGTTGAATTAGTGTGCTGTGATGAAGAGCAGGCATCAGTTGGCCCAGAAGTTTCCAGTGTTGTCCATAGACAATGTAGCTTGGAGAGCATCTCTGGAGAGTGTCCTTCCCCACTGCAGGTGGGAGCCTGAAGTCTCTGTGGTAACAAAAGTAATAATCTACATAGATAAAAAAGAGTTTGGAAAAAAAGCATTGAAACAAAATGTAGAGTCCTTTTTGTTCTGGAAATAAGAAGGAATCTCAGGCCAGCCGTGAGCAGAGCTGTGCGCTGAGAGCTGGACACGATACGATGCGGTGGCTGAAGTGGAGCGTCTTGTTCACACACCAAGTCTGTTGCAAGATCTGGGAACAGAACTTTTCTGCCTTTCCCATCCACAAAGAGCAAAGCTGATATTTTTCAGTCTAGATTATTATTTTCTTTCTTGGATTAAGGAAAACAAAAATGAGAGAGAAAGAAAATCAGTGAGTCATTGCAGTTTCTTTGCTGAAACACAGCTGCCCTTGTCACAGGAACAGAATTCTTAAAGCCTGCATCCAAAATTTATTGCAAAATAAATCTGAAACTTTTAAAAACAAGGAGGCTAAATGATGTTTCTCATTCTTTTTTAATTTGTATTTGTAAGTGTAGGTCCAGACTCCAGCCAGAATCAAGGGTAGAGCTGGAAACAGGAGAAACAAAGTTCTTGTGAAATTTTCAGACAAATTTTGGAAGCCCACACAGCCTACACTGGTTGGACAAGCTTCAAAATAAGTACACGCTTCTCAAAGCTTTGATGCATCTGGACCTTGTGGGATTTCTGCCGTTGAAGGTCAGCTTCGCTACACCCACACCACCACTCAAAAGTAATATCGCATTTCTTTGTTGGGTATTGCTTTTGAAAATGTTCAAAAAGTCCAGCCATCCCAATTCAAGAAATAAAATCCGTGTGTAAAACTCCGCCAAAATTCAGCGGTGCAATATTTTAATTTTAGGAAAAAACATCCCTGCTTTGGCCTGATCTTTCTGCCTGAGAAGCACTGAGACCTTGCTTTGCTGAACCTTGAATTGCCGCCTCTGTGATGCTTGCAGTTTCCCCCATTTGCATAGTGCCACGTTTCTCTGGATGAATTTGCACATTGGCGATAAACCTGCCTTGTTCAGGAAAGCTGGGCAACCTGCTTAGAAGCGGCACTCACTGGATGGATCTGTGCCTCATGAGCCTAAAGTCCGAGCTGCCTAACAGAACAACCCAACCAGCACCACACAGTTCTCATGGAGAAGGAGTGGATGTGTGCAGGGAGTCCAGGGGAGGGCTTCAGAGAGGGGCTTCTGCTCATCCTGACTGTAATACAAGAAAAATGGTGCTGTGTGAATAAGTCAAGTGTGGCCGGTGTTTGCAGCCACCCCTTCATTTAATGAGCAAGCTCAGGAAGCAGAATGTCCTGAGAGTGGGCAGGAGGCAGTTCAGGGGACAGTGTGAGATGGAAGGGAGGATGGATGACCTGATTTTGCTTCCAAACTACATCTCTTTAACTATCTTTAGTTACATTTATATTTAATAGGATAGCAACAGTTGGGCTGAGATTTTTATTTTTGTTTTCTGAGTAATTTGAATTTCCAAGAGGTGTTGTGTTATATATTTTTTTCTTAAGACTTTGTGACCTTCTTCCGTGAGCTTATTTTAGACCTAGTGGAATGTCCCAGAGAAAATTCCAAATGGTCCTTAATACATGAACTGCTTCCAGAAAGGAGAAATTCTCAGTGGACTATGAAACTATTTTTCAATCATGGTGTATGGCACACAAACCACAGCTGAATTGGTTTTTGGTTTTTTTTTTTCTTTTTCGTTTGCTTCTTTTTTTTGTTGTTTTTTTTTTCAGTAGGAAACTATTGCCCAGTGAGTTAAAAGAAAATAAAGGATAATGGGATTTTTCCGTAAGGCTAGAGCTGTTCACAGGGGTTTCCTCCCCACTAGATGTCACTGGAACTGTTTGAAATGTTTGGAACAACCAGCCCCATACTGCCCAGGTTCAGAGGCTTGTTACAAACATGAGACTTGGAACAGGTTTCTTTACAGTTCTGCTCTGGTTCATATGCTTTTCTCAGGCACTGGACTGGGATATGGGTAGCCATAGGAAGTTCAGGATTTGGTACGGATTTGGGGACAAGGTAGGTGAAACTCATGAAGCTTGGCGTTGTGCTTGGAGATTTCAGTCTTCCTTGGGCAAGCCAAGAAGACCCAAAGTCAATGCTTGGCTGCCACCATCATTTGGCTGGGAGGCGTTCAGAGGAAGAGCAGGGTCATGCAGGACGCAGGTGGGAGCAGCCTCTTCCACTTACAGCAGCCTGTGGCTGGGGCTTGGATTCTAATATAATATTCCATAAAACCAGGGAAATTCTGACAGCTCTTGCAGTTAAATTCTCCATGTCTCTCCTCCTCAGGAGTACAGATGTTAACTCCCGAGGAAAGCAGCTCCTCAGATTATTAGGTCTACTATTTAAATTCTCCCTGTAGTTCCAATCGACTACAGGAATCTTCTTCCATTCTTATTCAAAATTCAGTTTAGTGTGATTATGTGGCCATGCATCAAATATGGCAGTATAATATGTCCTTTCATCTACTTGCCATAATACATCCCTTTTAGTGCCACATAAATCCCTGAAAATATTGCTGTCTTCTGCTCTTGAGATTCTTCATGTGCCTCTTTGCCTTACTGCCTTCCTCTTCTATTGTTTCTCCAAGCTGAATTAATTCTTTTTTTTCTCCCAACCTGGCTGCTATGCTGTAGCCCTGCTTCTGAAACAGCAATGCTTCGAGGAGGAGAGGAGCAAGTGAGAGCTTTGACTACCTTCATTAATTAGTGCTCCAACGGCATCAATTCAGCACAACCCACCTGTAGGCACAGGCGGCTCACGCGACACACACACAACAGAAGAGGGTATATTCCCTTACACAGCTTGAGTATTAAGTTGTTATTATATTAAATCAGCAAACTTTCAACCCGCTCAATATTCAATAAATTTAAGAAAACGAATTGAAGATGCTTGCCTATTTTAATATGTACTCCTGAAGACATTTTCCAGTTGTTTTTTTTTTTTTTTTTTTACAGTTTAATTAGAGCCTCATGGCAATGGTATGTTTCTTTCTACCTACTATGACAGTTGTTAAAAAATTGCGGGGCTTCAAGTACCCTGCATGTCATTAACTGCTCTGCTGAAGATAAAAGAGCAGTGATGCTTCTATCGCAACCGCTAGAGCAGGCAAGATGGAAAGTGCCCCACGTCCACACCAGGGGAAGTACCCAGGAGTGGGAGTGGGATCATCCACTGACCCAGAAACCCTATTTGTGACCCTCCCTCTCACAGCCCACTTTGGGGTCTCATTCCTTCTGCCACACCTCCCGACGAGTGGAGGAGCTTCCTTGCCCCACCACTTCACATTACAAAGTAGAGAAATCTCTGCATTAAGAAAGTCCTGGCAGAGTACATTCAGTGCAGGACAATGCAGAGGAAGGTTACAAGTATATTAGGATAAGGGCACCACAATTATATGAAGAAGTCTGGAGAGAAAAGATTACATTGTTCTGACAACAACATTTTTCAAACATTTAGACCTTTAATATCATTAATTTAAAGTACAAGATTAAATATTTTATGCAAATATTAGACAACAGCAAAGAGCTCCACATATTAGGATTTAAAACAAATTGAAAGCATGCAAGACATATTCATTTCTTAAGCAGTTTAGTTAAAAAATCGGTATTGTCTCTATTAGGATTAACTGACAGTAACTCTTTGTGTTCAAATGGATTTAACTTCACTCTGGTTTGTTTTCCAGATATCATTGTCCTCCAATAATCATGGATAAAGGGAAATGTAAAAGGACAGATCAAGTAAAAATATATCTTCACATCATAAACACAGAATTACGTTTAAATTTCATTACTAAATGGGATTTCAGCTTCGTATACCATGCCTAATCCTACACTATAAAAGATGTATAAAAACCTCTTGACAAATTCTAACAGACTTTGTGGAAGTTGCATATATTGATTAAAACATCAAGCAGTTACATACAAACCAATAATGAATTACTTCTTGCTGGAAGATAAAACTTTGTGATATTTAAAATTACAGACTTGAAAGTAAGTAAAATTACCCCTAATTATGCAGAAGGGAGCAACACCTTAGCAGTAAACAAGATAAGCACCTCAAACAGCACTAATAATTTTAATTAACATTTTCTAGTTTCCTTTCACCTCCTTTCAAGGTCATCTGCTACCTTCTCCTGGTACGGCGTTACAGTGCAGTGTTAAAAACTTACATTCCCGTACTAAACACTTTGATAAGCCAAAAAATATTACTTTCTGGGAGGGATTCTTTTCTTTTCTTATTTAAAAAATTGAAAAAATATATATAAATAAAAACACTTAATTGTGTGCAAAAGTAAACACTGCATTGTGCAAAGCTGCCGGGGAGGTTTCTGCAGTGAGCTGCCTTCAGAAGTCAGAGCCCAGCAGCCGGGATTGGGCCAGACGTTGGGGCCTGACTCTGAGCACCAGAGGAAGAATTCTCCAGGGAACTCTGCCTGTGAGCAGAAACTCATTCATTTTTCACATGTAAATTTAAAAATGAGGGCTATGTTCAAACTGGGGGGTATTCGGATTGTGAAGTTCAAAAGACAGTGAACTGTGAACATCGAAAATGAAAATTTGGCATAACTTGATAGTCTGTGCAGTTCTTCAGCTACTTTTCCTTGCACAGCAATTAGTAAATGAGTGCTCTGGAGATGACTTTGTTAAACTACTTCTTTCCTTCCTTAAAAAATCCAAAAGTTGGTAAGAAATGGGCTTTGTTATATCAGTGGGTTTGTTCCATGCCACAAATTTAATGTATGAGGTCACTCGGAATATAATGTGTAGTGAAAGAATCTCATTAGGCTAAAATGAATGTAAAATGTGTCAATTTGATCCAAATGAGAACTGTAGTAAAACCATGTTTGATGTTCATGTGCAATAAATCTTTAACATTTGTCTGTAAAGTATTAGAGAACCCATAGGGAAATCTCTATTTGTGATAGCTGCACATTTTCAATGATTTTTCCTGTAATCCTTTGTTGACATTTAGCATGTGGCAACGGAAAGGAAGGTCCTAAAATAAGAATTATTAATAATTATTCTAAGGTAAACAAGGTGGACACCTTGCCTCTGGCTGCCAGGGCTTGGGGAAAGGCAGAAATTGTGAATCCACTCTGTTGACTGAAAGTCGTCACTTCTGGGGGGAAAAGTCAGAAACCAGCAGTGCCCTACCAGGCTGTGGGGTGATGGGCTCTGGTGGCCACATCCCTCTGGTTGGGTATATTTTGATATATTCATATTGTTAATTACTGTTGTATTTCAATTTTCTCTCTCGTATTTTTTGTTCGTTCATAATGGCTTCATGGTTCAGCGAACCGAAATGACTAAAATGAAAGATTTCCGAGATTTCTTCTGGGAGTAATTTACAAAAGACCACAATTTTTTAATTGCTCCTGATGTTTAGTTCTGGATGTCTGGAAGAGGAGAAATCAGCCCAACTCTTTTAGTTGCCACCCCAACCATATCGGAGACAGAGTTTTGATCTCTGTCTATGGCTTCGATTTCTGTGGCCCGCCATCCATATTTCGAGAACTGGCTTATAGCAATACCATGGTGTTTATATTTCTGCCTCTCACACTTGCTTTTGCAAGAGAATTACAAGCTATTCATGTCCTTTGAGGAGGCTCAGGAAATAATGGGTGAAATGTCAGAAACAATTAAGAAAAATAGAGGCATTTCATTTAAGAAATACATAACTTTTGCTGAATGGCTGAACTCGAAGTGCCACAAGATTGCTACAATATGAGCTCTGGCTCCTGATTATCATGAAGCTGTATAAAAAAAACAACCTTACAACACTCACATGCCAAAGGTTGCAACACAGTCTTTGGCAGGAAACACGAAAACACTCCAGCATGGGAAAAGTCTTCAAGCAAACTTGCATCTGTGCTGATTTACGTTTTTACAGCAAGCAACTGCCGCTTTCTGAAGGCAGTGAGTGACTATAGGGCATGGTGACACAGCCGTGCCCCACCAATACTCATCTCCTGGCCATACCAGCCTCTGCTTGTTTGCCCATCTCGTTGCTGCCATGCAGGGCCGTTATCAATAAATGTGGTGTTCTTGGCCGGGTTTTCTTTGGCTTGCAGTCTGCTTTACAAAACCGCTGCATACTTGACAGTTTGCCCTAGTTCAAAATTCTTTGGTCAGAAAAAGCCCGGAGAATGAAACAGTATCTGGTGTTGTAAAATCTTGACCAGATTCTGAAATATTGCCTAAGCCCCTGTCAGCTCGAAGGTGATTTCTCCAGGTCATGGTTTAGGGGAATTGATGGCACAGTGCACAGCCATGACTGCTCCGTCTGCACTACGTCTTTGTCGAGGAGGTGCGGGCTCACCTTTAGCACTCACTGCTTCCCCAGCCCCTATGGTTTTGACAGTACATTTACTTTCCTACACAGATTATAAGCTAAACGTAGGAAAACGAACCAAGAAAAAAACTTGTCTACCTACTGCATTTTCATTTCTCTATTTCTGCCTGAGGATTTATCGATTACCCAATAAACCAGAAAAAAAGTCTGAAAACCAGAAAAAAAGCTGAAGAAATAATAATACCAGGTGCTTGCACCAAACTGCTCTCTTCAGCTCTCCCAGTACTTTTTCTGGTGGTGCAAGTCCATTTTCCATCTTTTACGATTGGAGACATGAGGCATAGGCCAAAGAAATAACACACATGTGGTCAGAAATCCAAAGGTAAATCTGATATAATAGACAAATACCAATGTAGTGCTCTTCTTGGCTGTCCAGCAGTTCTAAAATTAAAAGCCATCATTCATGGCAGAAAGGGCCTCTTCTAGGGGGTGTAGTTTCTGTATGAGTCTTTAAACAATAAGGCTGTGGACCAACATAAAATTTGAATATTCTCATCATTGGACTACAGTAATTCATGTTCTTCTGTCAACAAGATCTTGACGTGCTTAGCCTTAAGCATCTGCTTAAAATCGTACTGAAGCAAAACACAGGCTTTGGTATATAGCCAAAGAAGGGTGAGAGCTTAAGAAGAGTCAGTCTAGATCATCCAGCTGTATAAATTATAAGTTATTACGTTAAAAGAAGTTCTATATATTTCTGGCATAAGCTCTGACTGTTACAGTTTTGTAGGGTACTGTCTTGAAGTAACAGCAGCCCTGCCCCTGCCTTCCTCCAGAGAAACTGAACTGGCCCCTGTAACACCTCCAGCTTAGTGACAACACTTAGAGTCTTAATTAGAAGAAAAAAGACCTACTCTTGCATTTTCCTTATCTACCCCAGGCTTTTCTGTACTGTGGTACTGTTTTTCTTAAAGTCTCAGAGATTCATCTAGATTTGGGCAAGCTGGGAATGCCTGAAGGAGAAAGCATACAGGCTTTTGGAGTGAGACTGCAGGACTGCTTGATGTTGGGCCTTCCCTACTGCTTTGGTTTAATTTGGTTTGTCTTGGCTTGCTTCAGTTTGCTTTAGGTTGGCTTGCTTTTTCTTGTTTTGGTTTGGATTGGTTTGATTTGGTTTGGTTTGGCTTAGCTTGGCTTGGCTTGTTTTCATTTGATTTGGTTTGTCTTGGTTTGGTTTTCTTTGGTTTGACTTGCTTCGGTTTGCTTTGGTTTGGCTTGGTTGTTTGTTTTTTTGCTTTGTTTTGTTTGTCTGGGTTTGACGGCTCAGGATAGATTAATTCATTCAAAATTTGCTACTCTTTGAACTTCTGGGTGGATGGCAAGGGGATTTCGTTTTTGTGGGCATTGATTCAGCAATGGCTCCACTTTGGTTGGGTCTGAGAAGGAGGCCCCCAGCAAAGTCCTCTGGAGAGGCCACAGTAGGATATCCAACATCACACAAACATCATCATGGGAGCTCTTTGACATTGCTGTGGCAAAGTCCTGGGGACAGAGCTGTGCCTCATTTGACTCTCCAGAGATGATGCTGGAGATCAGGCTTGTTGCTCTTAGTATTTCTAACTATTCTTTTCCCTTAGTCTCACTTTATTCCACTCATTTTGAAACTCTTGACAGCCTTTCATCAAATGCTTCTACCAAACTCAAAGCATATCTAGCACTGGCACTAATAATTTAGTACTGTAATTTTATGGGCATTTTAAAGTTCCTGGGTATTACTATCATTTTATGGAATGGTTATTCCTCCTTTTCTCTGGTCTTTCTTCCTACGTTCAGTAGAATTATAGGTGAAATGTATTTCTTGGCTGCTGTTTCACCTTTTGTTCATACACTTAAATATTGTACTAGCTAAGGATTGCACAAGGCCCCCACATTAAAATTTTATTGTATTTTTGTATTTATTTTTGGCCCAGATCTGGGGGCCTCTCAGGCTCAGGCCTTCTGTAATTTTATTGGTTTGTGGGTGGAGGAAAGAACAAAAATGAGGCTTGTGGCCAGTATGTTATCTTTGGCCATACACATCTATCTGAGGGTCCGATTCTGCTCTGGCTTTTAAGAATGTAAATCTTAAGCAGCTCCACTGAAAACAAACCAAAAAAAAAAAAATTAAAGCAATGTAAGACCAATGTAAATTAGTTGAGAATCACCTCCTTAGTGGATGCACAGTAAGCATTTTGCTATTTATGATGTAGCTGGGAACAGCTGACTAGCCTCTCTAAAGATAAGTGCCCTCTATAACTCAGTGGTGGGCATCTTTTTCTTCATTTTGACTAATGACTGCTAGTGAAGCCAAATATGAAAATTGTTTTTTTTTTTATTAATTATTTTTAATGAGTTCTAGCACCTGTAAGTAACAGATCGAAGAACAAACGCTTTTCAAGATGAGAATTGCAGCTGAATTTTGGTGGCCTTGCTACTGAGTGAAAAGCACCTCGTTCTGCACTATTTCTTTGCTTAAAAACAATTGAATACCATTGCTAAAATTCATGGGATCCAGACTTAATAAGTTTTTTGTTTTTTTTTTCTTTCAGTTATAGAGAACTGTTCATGGGACATCACATCCTCTGAGGTCTCCCCTGCCTGTCCTACAGCTCAGGGTGAATTGTGGCCATCACATCCCACACTCCTTCCTGCCTGGTTCACTGCCGTCACCACCATCGCTTGCTTTCCTCCCCCAAACCTGTCATTCTCTTGCCTCTTTGCACATTTCTTCATGTCAGGTCTTTGGCTTGGAAACGACTTCTCCTGTGAGCCAAACCTCCTTATTCTACACTTTAAAATCCTTATGAAATTTGGCTTGCCTTCCAAAACTAAGCCTCAGCTCCCTTGTTACTCTTCTAAATATAAAACATTTTTATTACATTAAGCTATGCTGAAAAAAAGTAGGAAAAAGAATAAGAAAAAAAGGAAAATCCCTGCACTAAATGTGAAGAAAGTGTTCAGCATAGCAGCAGATCACGTCGTTTTGTTTTGTCTTGGTATCATCTTGTTTGCACATGCTCTGGGCTCACTGTCTGTATTCCTCCTTGTGTGCCTCCTGCACTGAAAAGCCCCCTAACAGTTGCAACAAGAGGAGTGGTTGCCAGGCTTAACTGGAGAGTTCTGGAAATGGGAAAAGCTGCCCCATTATCGATCGTGCTGCACTACTAGTCCTAAAGATAAACTTGTATCCTAGGGTATTCACTTAGCACCTTTCAGCTACATTAAACTTCACTTTCTTATACAACCGAAGGCAAGTTTGAAATTAGTTATTTATATTTTTACAGGTCCATTTTGTTCATTATTTCCAATGTAATTTTAATCATTTCAACAAAGAAGTGGCTTAATATTCCCAATAATGGCACTTGTTAGTTTAAATATTAAAATTCGCATTAGAAATTCCCTTGACTACGTGTGCATTATTTGCATTATAGATCGGATGCGTCTCGGTGTCTCTCTCTATATGTATATGTTCATACACATGTATGTATTTTCCAGAAAATGCAGAGTTTTAAACGATCCTATCTGAGCTGAGAGCACATAGCAAATGCCAAAGCAATTAGTGATAAACAAGGTCCTAACACGCCAAAATTAAAAGCTGCTAATTTTCAACTTTAAATAAATCCTTATTGTATAGCAGAAATAATTCCTCATAAAGCGTTTCCAACATTCAGAGAATGCTTTTAGGACATACAGCATTAACATAATTTTTTCGACTGGGGTTCTCACAGGACATCTGATGAAGTCTCTACCCTTAATTTTAATTGCGTAGGCTGCATTCTTAATTAAAAACTGTACAAATGGATTTTATGCCATGCCAAAAGAAATCTGAGTTCATTAGTTATAAAACCTTTTAAAAATTGATGTAAATACGTGAATTCTTTAAAAGTTTGAAGTCGGAGTCCTCATTTTATGTTGAGTAGCCTTTTATCTAGAGAATAATAAAGCCAATACAAATTAAGATAGTCTGCGTTTTTCATCGTCCTCTTTTTTTTCTCTTCCCTTTTCGTTCGTGTGTGTGTGAGAGTTTGTGGGTGGTGGGAGTCAGTGTGGGGTTATGTCTTTATGTCGTTATGCTTTTCCTTGAAGAATCAAATTCATTTAAATCTAAATTGTGAAGAAAATTAGAGTGGGAAACGCACTGACCCCTTTGTACTGGGTTATATAAATATAAGTTCATATATCTTTTATTAATTCTTCATATTAAAACACCATCACAGCATCTCAAGCCCATAAACGTAATGGAAATCTGTCAAACTGTAACTTCGGAGGGAAACTCTGGACATCACTTAAGGAAATATGTGCACCTTATTGATTTTTATTTTAAAGTACGTGAGCTGTTAATTAAAATGCTTTTCCATAACTTGACAAGCCTTCAAGTAATGAATGGGAAACTGCAAGACATTCACTGAATCAGATCGGTTGCTACTGTTCCCTTTGGCTGGAGGCTCCTCTGACTGCACCAACCCGACGTTGGTGTTGGTTGCACAAAACACCACATGTACAATCACAGGAATGGGGCAGAAGTCAACTTATCCTGTCTTTTGTATCCATCTGCAGGATGTCACCATTAGACCCAACCTCTGTGCCCACCTTTGGTCGCACCAAGCTGTGCACCATCAGCAGCCGTGCTGTTATCTTTCATATCCAGGTTTGTGGCAAAGGATAAATAGAAAAAGTGAAATTTAAACAGTGGTATTGCCTCTAAACTTTCAAATCCAGATTATATAACAGTTTAATAGGGGGATAAAAAAAAAAAAAAAAAAAAAAAAAAAAAAGAAAGCAAATTAAACAATAAATAAACCAACTTTTACACGGAACCACTCCATTTCTTTTCATCCTCTTCAGTGGTTTCTGCTTTTGAGCATCTCTCTGCCACTGGACCTGACCGAGAGTGGCAGCCGGGGTGTTGAAATACCACATGAAAAGCTCTGTAAGTGCTTGTGACATTTACAGCAGGAGCTGAGACAGGAAGCACCAGAAATCTCACAGGAGATATGTTCTCATGGGTTTCTAACCCAATTTGGCACAGTGAAGAAGTTCAACTGGGCAACATTGGAGTATTTTTTTTTTTAAGGAACATAGTTCAGGCAACAAAACCATTCTACCTTTTGAGGTTTGCCCACTACCACTTCTTACAGATCATGGAAACCATATTCCTGTACAGTTAAATGTTTTGTGTTAGAAACACACCATACTGGAAGGAACGTTGGCTATCCATCACCATTAACCTCCGCCTTCTCCCCCAGATTCAGCTATCCAGTACAACAGTAGGCTGGAGGGAATGGGGTTATTCATCAGCAGACTAAGGCAAACAGACTTCTCCACATACACAAGCTTCTTTTATTTGACTGTTTTACTATTTGAAATTTCTGAACACATTCATAAGGCTTACCATGAGAAACGAGCCAGAAGGAATCGCTGGATTTAATACTTTAAGGAAGCAGGCAATTGTAAATTTGCTTTAACAAGGTCCAACAGTGCTGCTGGGGCTAGAGTGAAATGTGACATTACAAACACCACCATGATCCACTTGGAAACGTGTGTTTTATTATTTTATTTTCCCTAGCAGGGAAGAGAGCCTAGGGCCAGACCAACTCGGAGACATTGCATCAGCACAGCAGGTCAAGTGAACACTGAACCTGCAGCAAGCACAGAGCTGCATCCTTAGACTCCCTCCTTTCCAGAAAATTAAGTGAGGTCACTCAGAAAGCAGAGAAAGAAGAGGAGATGTAGACTGTACCCCATCCTACACATCCTACACATCACAGTGATTTATACTAAAATTAATGGCATTCAGCTGCTCACAAGCTCCGTTCCCACAGCAGCAGGAATGTTGCACGCTGACTGGTAAGCAGTGCATGATGTCCAACCTCAGCAAATACAGGAGGAGGAATATGAGATTTCCACAGGAGAACCTTTACAATCTTTCAGTTGTGGTATTTGTTTAAGTTTGTGCTGGGTAAACAGAGAAACGTGAGACACAAAATTGGTTTATTTCCCTTTCAAAGTGCAAAAGCAGCTTCGTCAAGAGCACAGTTCAGTCCGCATTTATCTCATCTAGCTTTAAGACCTCAAACTGAAATTGAATTAAATTCTATAAAGGCAGACTTGCTGTATGGTCCCAGAAGAAAATCCAGTTTCTGAACACTCAAAATATTGCTTTCAAAGAACAGCAAAAGGTTTCATCTGCAAAATGGCAGATGGATCCATAAACTCTTGATTCATGCACCTATTTCATAGCAGCCAACCTCATTTCTCCTGCGATAACTGCACTGTGAATGAAACCACAACATGTTTGCTAAGCAAATCCTTGGCTTCTTGTTTATAGTAGCATACCACTTTTTATGCCAGCTCCATGGTCAACCCAGGAGTGAAGAAAAACATTTGTTCTACAGAAAAATTCACAGAAATGGACACAAACAGACCCATATAATTGATAGTTTTATGAGATTGAACTCTGTAAATTTTTTTAATCTTATCCCTCTCGATCCAGTTTATGTGCACATTTGAACAATGACTTCATATCCTTTCCAAGCAGAGATTCTGGGATGCAGTCTCCTCATTTGGCCAACACAAATCCCCAACTGCCAAGAATTTCTAGTTTTGTATTTTGCATTATATTTGCCTTTTACATGCTCCTTTACAGGATTCTTAGTCAAACCATCCAGCCAGTGGAACGATTCCAGTTTGCACCTAAGGAAGATGTGCAAATCCCTAAAAAAATTAAAGATATGCTTGCATTTTCTGTTATCTCTTTCTCTCGTGGTACAGAATATGACAGCAAGTCTTTAATCTGCATGCATCATAAAGGCACGACTTATAGAAAAGTTCAATGACTGAAATGTTTTCTTCATTGGCTGTCTTCACCAGCAAACTAGAACAGCCGCCTGAATTGTAGACACCTTACCATGTATTAAGTTGAAATTAGTTCTCTGCTCTGCCTTCTTGGCCTCAAGGGCATATGAACGTGGTACTTCATTATGAAACATTTTTTTGGGGTGGGTTATGGGGGTATTTTGGCCACTACCTGGGAATCTTTTAACAGTTTTCCTTCTTCCAGCATCGCGTTGCATCAGTAAGCTGCACTGCCCAAGACAGAACAGAGCACTTTGTGGTGAGACAGGGGCTAGGTCTCTGCTAGGGGTTAAGGAACCTATACCAATTCCCACTAGAAATGGTGTTTTGCTGCCACTCCTGTCATTTCTCTGCATGTTCATCTGCCTGTGCAGGGTACTGCTGAGAGGAAGGAAGGTGGTGGAATGTTGGTCCTTTTATGACTGAGGGCAATGTGGGCAGTTTAGCATGCTGTTAAGCCTGATGTAATTAGAGGGGGGTTATATGAAAATAAACCAAACATCTGGAAGGTAAAAATATCTTGGAAAGAATTCACATTGGCTCATGTGGACATGCTAGCTATCTATCCTGGTGTCTTTAACAAAGCTCAAAAGCAGCTTTTTTCCTTATCACAATGGGTCCAGGCCAAACAGGGATGAGTAGACTCTCCATTCTCTTCTTAAACCACCTGGAAGTGTTTTAATATGCTGTTATACTGTTTTGTTCATCACTTCAAAATTTTCTTCGTAGATATAGGGGACGTCTGAGTTAGTGAAAGGGCAGTGGGATATCTGAAAGATAGGGGAACCAAACTAGATGTGCACGTCAGTAAAAGTGTCTGGACAGGTGGGACCACACCATCCAGTGCCATGCCACAGCCCAGCAGCTCCAAGCTTTCTGATGCAGAGATGTGAGGTGGTGAATGTGACTTATCCAACAGAATCCCAACCTCAAACCCTGAGTTGATCAGCTTCACAGCTTGTTAACGTTTTCTCAGACTTCCTATCTTGTTATTTTAGTTCCCAGACCCCCACCCCCACCAAACCTATAAATAGATCTCTGTTCTAGAAATAAACTGCTTATTTTGCATAAGATATATTGTCTGGAATACAGTTTATTTTTTATCACAAGGAACAACTGTCCTATTGCACTAGCATGTATTTTTCCTTGGGTAATTAACGCACCAGTTTCAACGAGAGATATGCAGTGCAGATACAAGACATATGTTAGTGCAACTAACCGCAGTGTTCCAGAAATCATAAATACAGAGTTTCACTACTTACATGTCTGTTATCAGCACGGTTCTCTAAAAAGAATGTTACTTATTTTCTGTTGCTAGTATTTTAAGTGATACTGAAACCTTAATTATTTACTGAAGTAGGCTGAAATCCCCCTATCAGCTGTGAACATTTCCAAACATGAATGGACCAGCAGGACTCTAATTCGCCAATCCTGAAAACAGTCCTACAATTGCACAAAAGAATCCTCCTAATCAGTGTAG